CCACTCACACGCCGGCCATTCTCACGCCGGCCACTCACACGGGCCCTCTGAGGAGTACGGCTGTGGCCTTGCGCCCCTGGGCGAGTATAGAGTCGGAATCCACGTCGGCGCGATCTTCATCATCCTCATCGCCTCTGCGCTCGGCGTCGGCTTGCCCATCGTTTTGCAACGCCACCCCGACGCAGCTGCGAGGTCCTCGACGGGCTTTCTCAGCAAGGTCATCTCTGAGTCCTTCTTCGTCCTCAAGCACGCCAGCTACGGCATCATTGTGGCGGTGTGCTTCGTCCATCTGCTCATTCACGCCTTCATCTATCTCGGCAACGAATGCGTGCAGCCCCTCGCCTACGAAGCTACAGCAGCATCCATCACCATGGGTGGCGTCCTCTTTGTCTTCATTGTCGACTTTTTGCTCCTTCATTCTATTCGTCGCAAGGCTGCCCAGGCACAAGACGCTGTGACGCAGGCTCATTCCGCCTCGGCTTCACCTACCAAGGGCGAAGTTGCCGAATGTGGCATCCTCGACCCGGAAGCCACTGGCTCGATAGGCGATGAGACGCTCGCAGAAGATGTGCGACAGGCAAAGGCCAATATGCAAGTCTTCGAGCTTCTTATCTTCGAGCTTTCCATCCTGCTGCACTCGGTCATTATCGGAGTCACGCTCGGAGCTTCGGACGGCTCTGGTTGGTCCACGCTGCTCATCGCCGTAGTTTTTCACCAGCTGTTCGAAGGGTTCGCGCTCGGAGCACGCATTGCGGAGCTCCCTCATCGGGTCGGTGGTCCGCTCAAGAAGTTCCTCATGGCGACCGCCTTTGCGCTTATCACGCCCGTGGGTATCGCAATCGGCATGGGGAGCCGATACTCGTGGAATCCCAACGACCGCAGTACATTGCTGGTGATGGGCATCCTCCAATCCATCAGCGCCGGTGCCCTGCTCTGGAGCGCGCTCGTCGAAATGATCGCGGGCGACTATCTCTACGGACCCATGGCCCGTGCCAGCCTTGGCCGCGGTATGGTCGGGATTATCTCGCTGCTGATTGGTGCTGTGCTGATGAGTGTGCTGGCGCAATGGGCATGAATGGTGTTTGAGACGGAGGCATGATATTTGTGCGAACGTGTTTCAAGCGTCAAGACCTTATCTCGTTTCTATCATATCGTCGCACCGGGAATGCATGGTTTATATTTTGGTGTATGCTTGTGGATGCAAATTGCCTACGACACGCACTGCAATTAAGGCAGACACTTTTCGTTGGTGCAATTCGGTATCGGCACCCTCGGTGCTGGAAGGACCATGTTCGTGTTAGGGTTAGGGTTAGGGTTAGGGTTAGGGTTAGGGTTAGGGTTAGGGTTAGGGTTAGGGTTAGGGTTAGGGTTAGGGTTAGGGTTAGGGTTA